AACACGTCAGCAGTGCCACAGGCTGATTGTCTCCATGCCACGCTGCATTGAAGCAGTCATTTCTGCAGAATGATTCCCCACCAAGTATTGAGTGAATAACTGAACATAATTATTTGAAGGTTGACCTTTTTTGTATTAAAAACACTTTTCTTTTATTGGTTGGATGAAATACGCAAATTTTTTGAGATAGGGATTTTTGGTTTTTCTTTACTTTTTTTTCTCCAAAATCATCAATATTAAAACAATAAAAGGCTTGAACTACTTCGCAATGAATCTAAAATATATGAAAGTTTAATGTTTATCAGTACATTACTGAAAATAATGAACTTTATCACAAAATGCTAATTTTTTGAGAAGGACCTCTATTGCCTATCGCAACAGGCCTACACATCACCTAAAAAGCTGTGAAACCTAAGTAATATATTTACAACATGATCATTACATCATAGATTCATGATTCTTCTGTACATTAGAGATGATGAAACTACTTCAGGTTATTCTGGTTTCTGTTATTGTGGATGTTTAAGTCTCACGCTGTTTCCATTCATGTGAAGTCAGTATTTCTAAAAAAGCAGTACGCATTCGATTGCTGCATCACTGAACAAATCTCCAATTCTCTTTCTTTGTTTTTTTTTAAATGGGACAGGTGCTCTCAGCGGCCACAATTGTTGCTAAGCACACCTCGGCGTTGTGCAATGCCTGCCGTCTTGCCTCCTCCAAAACAACTAACCCAGTTGCTAAAAGGCATTTTGTCCAGTCAGCCAAGGAGGTGGCTAATACCACAGCTAACTTGGTCAAAACCATCAAGGTAGGATTTCAGTCCCATAATGAGTTTAGAGTTTAGACAGAAAAAGTCTTCAAGTATTTAATTTGTACGTCACATTAGAGCCTGAAAAATGTTTCTAAGCAATGTATTTTATTCTTCACTCTAAGTTTGAAATACCTCAGCAACACAGATTTAATCATTTAATTGATGGTGACATTCGGTCTTTGTGACGCTGCAGGCTTTAGATGGGGATTTCTCCGAAGAGAATCGAAACAGGTGTCGGGTTGCCACAAGTCCACTAATCGAGGCTGTGGAAAACCTGACGACGTTTGCTTCTAACCCCGAGTTTGCCAGCATCCCTGCTCAAATCAGCAATGAGGTATGGCCTTGAAAGCATTAGTGTACTTTAATGTTTCATATTACACCTCAGACATACCGTATATTTAATCATGTACAAAGACAGGAACATGTAATAAATGCACATCTTCATAACCTAGCTGCTTTTTATTTTTTTATTCTAAGGGCTCTGCAGCACAGGAACCCATCCTCCAATCAGCACGCTCCATGCTTGACAGCTCTATCCATCTGCTCAGAACTGCACGCTCGTTGGTCATCAACCCCAAGGACCCGCCAACCTGGTCCGTTCTGGCTGGTCACTCTCGCACGGTCTCCGACTCCATCAAAAGTCTCATCACAGCCATCCGGTTAGTAAGGGATATTAAACTCAGATTTTATTAACAAACGTTAAATACATCCTCTTTTAAACTGCTTTGTTGATTTCTACATGTTAATGTTGTTGTAAATATGCATAGATAAGGTTTTGTGTTTTTGATTTTGCTTTCGTTTCTCACACAGATGTTTAGCTGCATCCAGAGATGAAGTTCTACTTTTTAAACCTCTTTATTTTGCACATTTAATCTCCTCTCTTGCACCTTTTTGCTTTTGACCTTGTTTAAAACAGAGATGTCCATGAGGGATGTGATCCCCAGCATCGAATGCCCTGAATGTTAAGGTTCCCGCTCGCCTCAGAACATCTGCACATATACGTTCACACACAGCCGATGTAGCATCGCTTTCAGTTTTCATGCTTTTATCACAGACTTCCAGTGCTGGGACCAGGGTCCAGACCTTTATTACTTTATTACTTTGGTGCCACAGAATGTAAATGACAATGGACTCCATCCTGCAGAAGTCAGTTTTATAACTTTGCTAGTCTTGTTCAGCAGAAAGTTGAGGGTCCTTCTTTAGTTTGCTCAGCTGTCCCACTGCATGCATAAAAATTACATTGAACAAATTTGCTTTGCCCATCAGGCCGCAGCCACAGACCACTCTGGGGCTTCAAAGCTAATTTGTCTGCCCAGCTTGATGTCCTCACTCAGTGATGGGACCCTTCATATCAGATCTGAGAGGAGAAATCCCAAAGAAAAGACGTTAATAATACCAGAACCTTTCTCCCCTCTCACCTTGTGTATAATTTCCCCCATTCTGTCATCACTCATTTTCATCTCTTAACGATTTCATTGCTTTTTTTTTTCTGCTCTTGTTTCATTTTTCAGGGACAAAGCTCCTGGCCAGCGGGAGTGTGACTCATCAATTGATAACATTAACAAATGTATCCGGGACATTGAGCAGGCCTCTCTGGCAGTTGTTAGCCAGAACTTACCGAGCAGGGACGACATCTCTCTGGAGGTAAACGCCACGTCTACCCAACAACTGCAACTGTTATAACAATTATTTCTGTATCTTTCTTTTCTTTTGCCAGCTGCTTGCTATTTATAAGTTGTCATTATCTTTGTTTCATCTTTTAAAGTAGAACACATTTTGTTCAAAAGAAACACATATTTTATGTGAGCACCTCTGTCTCTAACAAAAAAAAGCCAATAAAAAGACATTTTTATATTTTCTGGTCAGGCCCTACAGGAGCAGCTGACGTCCACTGTGCAGGAAATTGGTCACCTAATTGACCCAATTTCTACGGCAGCCAGGGGGGAAGCTTCCCAACTAGGACACAAGGTATGTGGGGCACGAAGTTAATTACTGCACGCTGTGAAAGTGAAGCAACAAACTGACTGTTTTGAAAAGGTGTTTATTGAGAGAGGTACAGTGTAAACAACATTACCTGTGATAATACCACAAGAGAATAAATCAGTGGACATTTTTATTGATCCTTCATTTTTAACACTAATTATTCCTTTGTGTCATGTCTAGACATACTGAAACAAAGACAACCCTTAGTGGATGATGTCTTCCATTTGCTTGTTTTTAAGTTGATTACTCTAAAAAGTGTAAACATCTCTCACATTTTTAATGAGTGAGTCCAAATAGAAAAAAATATGGGTTTGTGTTTGTTTTGCTCAGTTTGTGACATACACTCACCGGCCACTTTATTAGGTACACCACGCTAGTAACGGGTTGGACCCCCTTTTGCCTTCAGAAC